GTTTGGCTCTCTCCACGACAAACCTGCGTGTGCTCTTAGCAGTCATTACAAATTAACCCAGCAGAGACCTCACACCTGATGAAAAGTTTGGAGGTAGCATGTTTGACCTCGCGGCAGGAATCAGGTTCTGATCCTGAATGCAGGGACAATGTGGACATTGTTTTTATCTGGAGTTTTCTCCACTTTGAGTTCTCCAATATGTATGACAAGGCTAATCTTGATGGTCAGGAGGAGCCTCCCTCTGCTCCTCGCCCCAGTCCACTTCTGCTTTGCACTAAAGCAAATCCTGGACAACATTTCACTGCAAAGAACTCCATCTTAAGAACAGGACTATCTTGGTTTTTCTGTGATGAGAACATCCCCAAACATCCCGACAATGTCCTTTCACATCTAACTCCGTGACATCAGTCCTCTCCGCCGGGTGTTGCCAGGGCCATCACCCACATGGGGATTTCCCACCCCATTAGCGTCCACTCAGTGCTGCCCTGGGTGTTACTGAATTCAAGGGGTTCTTTGCTTAGTCAATCGCCAGTAAGACGATTGCAATATCCATAAATGCACTTTATTACACAGATCTGGGAGACCTCCAAGACTGCCTCTGGAGTGGTCTGGGAGTGGTCACTGGGATTTATACTAGGGTGAAACCCTAGCTCATTTAACAATGCACTTTTGTAAAAAAAAAAGTAATCTTTACATCTGAAAAGAATAGTTTATATTAACTACTAGTAACTCATTCAGGAGGGGCACAGTCCCTTTTCTCGTAAAGAGGCAGATTAAGATACACTTTACATATGACTGGGAAACATTCCTCAAGAGAGATCAAACTACCTGATTAAAGACGGGAAACAATTTGGAGACTAAGTAACTAGTTTTGCAGGCTGAAGAAAACTGATGTTAGTTTTATAATTATATAACTATAGTCTTATAGCTGATACATATATAGAGAATTCTGAACTTATTAATACCACCCTATCATGGGCAGCCCTAACGTCTCTGATTTCTATCTGTTGGCTTAGTTCCTAGAAGTGAGATCATGTGATTGGTCCTTTTGAAGCCCACAGCGTTCATCCATGACCGCGGATATCACTCAGTAACCACACAAAACTAGCAGTAATGCTCTAATGCCCTCCAAAACCAGTCACTGTCCAACTTGCCCACCAGATTCTGAGAATTTCACACTTGGCTTGAAATTGGACCAATTCAGCATTTAATAGGCTTGCTAACCGCCTGCCTGCGACCACACGGCAGGTGGCGGGGATTGGGCACGGCGCAGGCGCGGGCGGGGCAGCTCGCGGCTGGAGGCCACGCCCCCGCCACGCGCGTGGACTTGTTGGCTGCCGCCGCGCACGCTCCGACACCCGTTCTGAAGCCAGCAACCAAGGACCACGCCCACCCCAGGCGCTGATTGGCCACATCTCAGCGGCGCGCGCTGACCGAACTGGGGGTGGGCTCGGAGGTCGGAAGGCACGCTCCTCCCGCGCACTGATTGGTGCAGCCTCCCAGAAACACACTTAAGCAGCAGAAGGCGGTTCCGCCCGCTGAGGCCACGCCTCCCAGTGCACTAATTGGCTCAGCCACGGACGCCGGGAGG